AAGAGCCCCAAAATGACTACAATTCTCGTCCACCGAAGCCGTCGTTTGAACGGCCGAGACGTCTGTCGCCAATAGAGCGGCGCTTAAGACCCGAACCGGAAGTGGCGGCTGACGTGCCCACAGAGGCCGAAGAGGACGTGTCCAGAGATATCGCGATCTTAAGGCAAACTGTGGAAGAATTGTCGCAATCAAACCTTCACTGTCAATACTGTGACCATTTTCTGAGTTCAGTGAACGACATCAACGCTCACATGGGATCACTCATTCATCAGCAAAATATGGCCAAAAAGGAAATGCAAGACAACGCGAAGGTCGACAGCGATGGGAGGTTTGGGGCCAACGATAGAGCGGACACGAGTCGAACGGTTGTGGATCGGGTGCCGACAGGAATGGCCGCTTTGGTCCAAATGATTGACTCCCGGAAACAGATTACACTTAAATCGTTGACTGATATGGTATTCATTCGCCTATTGATTGTTTTGAAGCGTTTTTTATTTAATTTTGTTTACGATTTAATGGTTCTTTAGGACACTTACCAGATCTGTTCTGAAAGTGAGGCCCTATTGGCTAAAGAATTGGCCAAATTATTGACCCAAGAGTTGCTTAACTATAAGATGAGTTCAATGCCCGATACGGTTAAAGAGGTTTGTCTTTTATCGATACTTTGCATTGATTTTTGGTATTTATATCATTGTTTGTCTTTTAGGCTCTCAAAAACCAAGGCATCGGTCTATTGAATACTATGACAAAGTCTTGAATATCGCATCCAATCAATCACTTCATATATAATTTATATTTTAGACAATTATTAGCGGGAAATGGTCTGAAATTTTGTTCTTTATGTTTACTGTACAGCAAATCATTTTATATATTTTGATTAAACACTATTTCCAACTCATTATCTATTAAGATCTCAACCATTATTTCTTTGGATCAAATGTAATATAACTTGTATTTAAATGTGTTTTAACGACAAATATATCTTTGGATTTAATACAAAACTATACAATTTGATTCTCACTTCAGTTAATAATTTAATTTTGAATCCATTTTTGTGAGATTTGCCGATCGTTTGGATCGATTGAGATTTGTTTTGATTGATATATCGATAAGATTATTGCTGAGGAAGAAGTCTGAGGCGACAACATTGGCGCAGTTGGCCCAACCCAACGGACTATCAGCGCTGAAGCCCTTAGCGATCTCTGGGTTGACGGTGTGGGCCATTGTCCGCAACCCATTGTATCGGTCGATAATAATGCCGAACTTATCGGCCGTCAACTGAACCATCGCTGAGAACAACTGATTCGGATATATATCGCAAAGCGTTTCGTTGAAATACTCGACCAACTCTTCGGTGTCGTCGG